GTGAAAATGAAAACGATCATACGTCATGCACTGTGCTATAAGGGAAATTTAGCCCGAAGAGCGGCGCTACTGCCTATTCTAATATCGAATTCTTACTATCTAGCGATCTTTAAAGATCATGCCAATTTGTACATAAGATTCGTTTTTTCGTCCCATCCGAACGATTATACCAAAAACAAACTGGCAACTAAATTTTTTAATTAAATCAGACACATTACATGTTAGCTCTGTCTGTCTTTCTGTTGGCATTGCCAGATTTAGTTGAAGCCCCTCCCCATCCTCACGACAACAGGAAGATCAAAGTGACTATTAAACACTATTGAAGATATTGACGAATGTTTAGTTGATGCCCCCCCCCCCTCCTCCCATACCTCATCTTGGCCCGATGACCCCCCCCCCCCAATCATGGCCCGATGAGCCCCCACACCACCCTCCACTCACCCATATCTTGGCCCGATGACCCTCATATCTTGAGACCCTCCTAGGTTTCATCCTGTCAAGCCCACAGGTCAATCTAGCACTGTCTGTTTGTTAGCGAGAGAGAGAGAGAGGGTGAGAGAGGGGGAGACAGAGACAGAGTGTATATTCCCATGCTCCTGTACACTATGTGCCGATACAGTGTCCAGAGATGTACGACAATTTAATCTATATGACATTTTCAGCTCTTAAGAAACATTCCTATCGGAGATAAAGCTCAAGTACCACTCTTAACATTTACACATTTTAAATCAGTGTAATAAACAGTGTTTAGCGCAATAGTAGAGTTGTCACTCTGCTTTATGCGCCACATTTTACATGGCATGAGCCTTGTTTCCCGGGGTGTGAAATTTCAGGCATCGGGTCAATGCCGACGTCTGATTGATTGGTTGATTGGAATTCGGGTGGACATGATAAAGACGGGCATGCGCCATACAGTGTACTATGAGGGACATTTTGCAGTCTTCACGTTGTCGGGCACGTAAAAGAATCCATGGCAACTGGAATTCGAAATAAAAGAAGGCCCCTCATTGCAGTCGGTGGTGATTAGTAAGACGTTAAATGTTGTCGGACACGTAAAAGAACCCATGACAGCCACGGTTGCTCAGTGGGTAGGACGTCGGCTCGCTAACCTGGAGGTCTCATATCGTTGGCCAAGAAAGTTCATCGTTTTTTTTCCGGCATATTTCCTCCTTGTCAGTGGTACGGCCACGGGGCAACATGTGTAGGCGTTCGGATAGGACGACTATACGGGGACCCGTAGACACATTGGCGGGGACCTTAAAAAAACCTTAACAATTGGAATTCGAAATAAGAGTCAGCTCCGCTATCCGGGCAAAATTTCACTTATAACACACTGTTTGTCGTATATTCCCGTCTTCATTAGCCCAGTCGGTGCAGAACAGTAGGACGTTAAACCTTATTTCATATCATTTCACTTGTCTACCTTCAACTTCACCAACTCGAGTGGATGTGTTATCATAAACTAGTTTAGAATTATAAGCGGGTGTATTTGAGGGGGGGGGGGGGGCTCTATACTAATTTTGGCTTTTTAACATGTTTTTTTTATGTGTCAGAGTCTTATATAGCAGCTGTATAGTTTCTTACAGTTCATATCAGATATATATTGCTAGCTGTGTTATATAACGTGACATGACGACATCAGTACAACTTGTATGGTGGGTTATACAAGGATAGCTAGTAAGACAGAGCAATAATCTGTTAGTGATATCTACTAATTGGATAGACTAACATGCTATTACCCATGCTTAAGGTAAACAGCTACCATATTTTGGCTTGTTTTACTAATTGGATAGACTAAACCAGTATTAACCATGCTTATGGTTAATAGGTACCATATTTAGGCGACATTTCGAAGAATATTTTATATAAGAAGAACAATTCCTGATAATTACTTAACCCTTGGTACAATCTTGTAATCTCACCAATATATAGAGACTTTGCTTCACTTTTTTACATAACGATTCACAATGCAATGCACAGGGGAGAATTTAGTCCGTACAATGGCGTTTCTACCCAATTAAGTCAGCTATTAATTTAAAGTAGGTATTAATACAAATTTGTGATCAGATTTGTAACCCTCTATCCTATCTTCTAGTGAGAGGTGGTTGGGTTGCCTAATGGTTAATGCGTGCGCGTGGCATCATAAGGTCTCTCATTGAGTGAAGTGGCGTGGTTTCGATTCCCCGCTTGTTCATGACAATGAGTAGGATCGCCTGTCCAACCTCTTGGGTTTTCCCTGGGTCCACCGGTTTCCTCCCACTGGTGTACCTTTAACAGTAAACTGCTACCTCTATATTAACGGCGCACAGGTTTTTTTCTTATTGCATTAATGTAAGTTAACAGACTTCAAGATCAAGAACTGTTTTAAAAATGGTAACTACACGTTTTTCCTAACAAAGTGGAAAACAGGCTGGAAATTGTTCAACTTTCTCAGTCAAAGCCGGTGTCGAACAAGAATGGGTTGGAATGCCTGTGTTCAGTAACTTGTTTTGTTTCCCTTGACCTGTTGGTTACTACCAGTGCTTCATAATAAAACAACAATACAAAGAGTTTACAATTATTATTCTAATATGGAAAGATATTATACACGTATTTTAGCTCCATCTGGAATCATTTTTTATTATAATATGGAATGATATTATACATGTATTAAAGTTCCATCTGAAAAAAACTATCAACTACTTCTTCCAGCGATTGACCATAATTTATTCCATTTCGGATAGAAATAATGTTATCTCCCTTACACCGTAAACAAAACATTATTTAACAATCATTCAGCCATAACAGTAGTCTAATTATTAACGTCTTTTAATGTCAGTTATCTTATTAATTGTTACTTGAATTGTAAATTTTCTATGACCATTAATAAATCCACTGCAGGATTACTGAATCTCTCCCAGTCAATAAGATCAGAAACATAAGTATAACCACCACCAGGTCTAACAGTCCTATTACATTGTTTAACTACAGATTGTCTATCATCTGTTTTATTTATAACTTTACATGTGACGTCAACTTTACATGACGTAATACTTTTATCTTCTACGTCATTCAGGTCTAATCCAACACATAATGATGATCCTAGTTTATACACACCAATAATCCATGTAAAACCTGAAACTACATGTCGTTTACCATAATACCAACCACCTTCTCTCACAGTATCCACATTAAAAACATCTTCAAACATATTCTGATGACAACTTACAACTTTACCAATCATATTCTGATGACAACTTACAATTTTACCAATCATATTCTGATGACAACTTACAATTTTACCAAGTTGATTAGTTAACAAAGTTTTATCTATCTCTGCTACTTGAAATGTTGAATATCTTACATCAGGTATATCCAATTTTCTACAACAACTTTCATCTTTTTCCTGTCTAACTTTAGGTATTCTTTGTAAAACTTGAACAACGGATGAATCTTCTAAAACATTCACTGAATATTTAACACTTGCTTTTAAATCTTCTGTTAGTCTTTTAATGTCCTCCATTAATTTCCTGAATTTGGATTCTTCCTCTTCACCAGTTTTCTGCATTTCCTTTTTAATATTTTCTCCGATTTTGTGAAATTCTGAGCAGATTTTCTCAACCTGCGCATCTACTTTGTCACATTCAGTTTTTGTGCAGTTTTTGACTTCAATTAATTTACTATTTAAATTATCATAATGTTTCTGAAAAGTAGTGATTTGTTTTTCTAATTCATCATTCATTGATTTTAAATCGTGTCTGATACTTTGTCTGACTTCATCCTCCTGTAAATCTAAAAATTTATGTCCATTATGATCGGCCACGAAACATTTCCAACAAACGGCTACGGTACAATCTTTACAATAGACTTTTACAGTCTCTTCTTCATGGCGCAGACAGAAATCTTTAGGATTTGTGATAGACGAAGCCGAAGCTTTTTCCTTTATTGTTTCGTTTGAAGTAGGCGCTTGATAGATTTGTGTTTCATCATATCGAGACACAACGTGGTCTTTACAAATTTTCATCTTATCATGCGTGGTTTTACATGATTTACATAAATATTGATCACACTCTCGACAGAAATATTGACATGTATCTTCCGTACATACATCACATTGAGGAATATTAATTGGTTTAGGTTTAAATCGATCCAGACCTCCGTCACTGAGATTTATAAAAATACGGCATAATGGGCATTGGAACTGATCTTTAGTGGAGGTTTTGTTCACATAATCTTCTAAACAGATAAAACAAAAGGGGTGTGCACAATCGAGTACCACGCGTTGTTGAAATTCGTTCAAACAAATACTACACACTTCCTTCTCTGCCATTTTAAATAACTGTTTGTTGCACTGGTTGTATAAACTGGACAAAACAACAACAAACAATTAGGCTAAATATAATATATACGATATCCTAGAAATCAAAACTGCTAAATTTAGCCAAATCGTCTAACCTCGCCTGACATCTTCTCGAGCAGTTTATCTTCCTTGGACTGTACACTGAACATGCATAAACTTGATATAGTTTCTTAGAAACGTCTAAGTCACATAATTGTAGACAATACGAGTTCAAACTGGATGAAAATACAAAATCAAACAATATAATACTTGATATCGAGATAGATGAACTAAAAATCAAAAGTATTAATTCAAACAAAACATGTAAATCACATAGAAATTCACGTCTTTCTTCGTCTTTCGCAGTTTGTTCTTCTTATGCTGTAGACTGAACATACGTAAACTTGCTACAGTTTCTTGGAAATTCTATTTTTATTTTCGTTTTGATATAACGATCTTCGACATTAGGCTTTGTCACCCAGACTATAACCGTGTACGTAAACTACCATTGATATTGTTAGCGTGTGGGTAACAGAGGCTAAAAATATCACGCTATATGCTGTAGACTGAACATGCTCGGGTTTCTCTGAAATTCTATTTTCGTTTTAATATAATGAACTTCGACATTAGCCTTTGTCACCCAGACTATAACTGTGTATATCAACTACAACTGATATTGTTTGAGTGGGTAACAGAGGCTACCACTATCGCGCTACATCATATTGACACTATATCTGTCGGTGTACGTCTATAATTATAATATTATGACTATATGTAGTATGAAAATAGGTCACCTTATAGGGAGATATACTATAATGCTTATACGTTTAATTTTATACACAGGTATGTCTCCAACTTGGTATCTTCAACAATGTAGTAATATATCAACTAGTTAATAAACCTCTAGATATAATATACACGGCTGGGTCCACATGGCGCTATATCCTTACTTAGAAAGTTCATCGGGACTCTCCGATTTTAGTATCATGCTCCATCCGAACGACTAGACGGTGTTCCTGCAGGACTGAGAGAGGGGAACCAAGCCGGAAAATCCCGAATAGCTTTCTCAACCAACACTGGGATCAAACCCATAACCCTCTGGTTAACGAACGAGTGTCTTACTCACTGAGCCACCGCGACTCGTCTGATAATATAATACTTGACATAATATCTAGGTTAATTTACGTCCGCTTCCATTGAGATGATACCGTAGACAATAAATCAATGTCTAAGTATTCTGATATTAACATATTGATGGTCGTGGTAGTCAACGAGTCAGGGGATTGAGTTCGAATCTCGAGGCTGGCTCGCTACCCTGGAGGTTGGGTGTTCGATCTCTGTAATGGTCGAGAAAGTTAAATTCATCCAGATTTTCCGTCGTGATTCCCCCTTGTCAGTGATTGAGGACGGAGGGCCTGACAAGGACCGCTGTCTATTCGTTCGGAGGGTCCGAAAATCCGAGGTTCCGTGTACACATTGGCGTGTACGTAAAAGATCCCTTGACAGTTGGAATTCGATATAAGAGTAGGCCGTAGTGTCGCTGCCCGGACACAATTTCCCTCAAAGTACACTGTATGGATATCCGTCTTCATTAGCCCATTTCGGGGCAGAACAGTAGGACGTTAAACTTCAATTCATTTTTATTTCATTTCGAATCTTGAGAAGGACCTTGAGATTTGTCGATCCTGATTTTCGTCTGCCAGGGACAGCGTCCGTTAAGCTGACTAGTCCTTCGGATGGGACGATAAACAGAGGTCCACCCGTGTATACATTGGCGTGCTCTTAAAAGAAATTCGATGAAATGCCCATGACCCGACAAGATTCTTCTCTTTAGTATCACACCCTTGACAACAGAAAAAAGCGGGAGTAGTGTGTGGTGTTGAAGCTTTAAATTACATTCCCATCTGTTTTTTGTGATTATCAGTAATATCAAGATAGGCCAAAATTGATACCGGATACTAGGCGGACATTTTTTTTATATTCTTACGGTGGAAACGGACGTTTAGTAGAGCGATTACTTCCTAATGTCAAAATAAATTATTATTTCCATAATTATGTGCTGTGGTCTATTGTTTAAAATAAACTTATTTTATTACAACTGTTGATGCGGGGGGGGGGGGGGATTTGAGAACATACAAATAATCAGTATTTTACAATGGAGAGGGAGAAGATAGGGTTAAACGTTCACTCGAAACAAACTAGGTAATTTCGGGACTAACATATACAGTGTATTTCAATTTTTTTCAATAATACGCTTGCACGTAGGGCTGGGACCGGGGGACAAGGAGAAAACCCAAGAGGCTGGACAGGCGACCCTACTCCTTGTCACATCCAACCGGGGAATCAAAACCACGCCAGTTGACTCAATGACAGACCTTATGAAACACCCAGGGCTGGATTGGGCCATCGGCCGGTCAGACAAAAAATGAAAAAAATAATTTTGTGCAATTCGTCTAATAAAACCTTTTTCTTCTGAACATTATATGGGGGGGGGGGGGTGTATTGAACCGGTCATGCAGCGATGATGATCATGTTGTATGTGGCCGGTAGTTTTAACGGGCTGCCACGCCATCACTGGAGTCTGGAATGGGCTGGTATAATAGACTTTCTGGGCCGGGTGTTCTGGGTGTGGGCCGGAATTCGGAATCCGAAAATTTCACCGGATTCACCAGACACTTTCACCGGCAAATTTACTAATTATTAAGTCCCCTGTACCCTGTTTCTGGGGATACGTCAGAAACGTCTGCCGATCGTTTGTAACTCCAAAAACAATTTCAATTTTAAGGCCTCAGCAAAATTTGATGATAGCTAGTCTGCTTGCTGAATATGAGTGCGAGACGATTTCCTGAGACTGGTGTTAAACATTCCTTAACATTTTTATTAACTCGTTATTTACAGAGATGAAATTACAGAATTGGGATGTCGGGAATGGTCTCAAATTGCGGGAAATGGCCTCCGATTTTTCAAAATTTTCCCGGGGGAGAGCACCCGGACTCCCCCATCCGGGCTCCGCGATCAGTAAAAGGGGCCGCTCCGACACGGGACCTCGGGCCATTTCCCGGCCCCAATCCGACCCTGGATACAACACGCACGCGCTAACCATTCGGCCATCCAACACCCTATTTTACAGTGGGTAGCGACTAATAAAACATAATTAAGGTGAGAGAGAGAGAGAAATGGGGTTTAACGTCCACTCGACACAAACTAGGTCATTTCGGGACTATCACATTGTTCAATTTTATTTCAATCATTCGCTTGTAGGGGTCTTTAGCAGCGGGAGGAAACCGGAGGACCCGGAGTAAAGCCACGAGGTTGGACAGGCGACCCTACTCCTTGTCACGTACAACCGGGGAATCGAAACCATTCGGCCATCCAACCCCCCATAATTCAGGTAGTGGAAATTAAAAGAAGGTATAACAGCTGTTTTGATGTAACAGCATTTACAGTTAAATATTACTTTAAATTGCGTTCGAATCACGCTATGGGCCGAGAAGAACTCGTTCTCGCTTTTCAGGGTGGCCTCGGCGGAATTGACAAAGGAAATGTGCCTAATCCATCGGATAGGGTAGAAAGCTGCATTCCAGGCTAAGTTCCCCATCGTATTGCACGCCTGGCGATTGAAAAGAAAAATACATTAATTAGTCTTAAATTGAGAAGACGTTAAACCCCATTCCAGTATTATATATATTGGGTGTGACTGTGATAAATACGGGGTTAAATGTACTGTCATGAACTGGCGTGGTTCCCCCGTTTTCCATTATGCAGGACTTTGGGCCCGGCAATAGATAACACCTAGTTGTTCCGACAGTTCTTGTCTACTCAGGTGTGCAGGTATTGGAATTCCGTGTAAGAGTAAGCTGTCGCGCCGCTCTCCAAGACAAGATTATTTATATATATATTCTCACCTGGTACAATAATTGATTGTTTTATAAACTTGGACGACATTAGTCACTCTATCTATTTCACTATAAAACTACAACAATGCAGGATAAATGGACAGGTATCATCCTCTCAAGGTCTGTAAATTTGTGTAACGAAACAGCTGACCGACAGCCGACAACTCTATACGCCTATATTACGCGTGGGTGTATATAGAAAAATTGCAAATAGAAAAAAAAGTGAGGAGTCCTTCCGTATTCGTGACTGAGACATTCTCCTATTGAACACCAAAACCAAATTTAAATAAAAGAAAGATGGTCAAATTCACGCTGATATGGATTTTAGCAAATTTCATGAAATTCGGGCAATAATTCAGCCCTGAAGATAGCTTTGATACATTTTATGTGAAATCAAGGGCTATAACTCTAAGCATATTCATAATTATGATGTCGGATTAGTAATTCTTTCCTCAGTTGATTTTAATGGTAAATCTATGACATGCCTTGGCCTATAACATTTTTTCTACTATGTCCCGACCGGGCGCACCGAATTGCCCAATATCACCCAATTAATAATACCCAATAATTCCAACTGTCAAGGCATACGTGAATGCCAATGTATACACGGGACCTCGGTTTTTCGTCCCACCCAAACGACTAGGCCCTCTGTCCTGCACCACTGACAAACGTTAACCACGTCGGAAAATCCAGATGAACCGCGACCTCCATGCTTACAAGCCAACGTCTTACTCACTTAGTAAGCTAGCACCCTTTGGCTCCCTGTTTAGAACGGAATTAGGTTAATGTCTTGATCTGCCACTTTAAGCGATTGGAATCACTTGTAAACTACATCAAACTACTGGTCTGCTCCAACTGTGCTAACGAAAACGAGCATACGCCATACAGTGTGCTATGAGGGACATTAAGACCAGACAGCGGCGCTGCGGCCTACTCTTAAGGGATCATCAACGTGCACGTCACATACACATCCCACCCGAGCCATTTCGTCCCTAATTAGTTAGTATTTTGTATTATTTGATGTTTTAGGTTAATAGATGACCCGGTGCCCGCAGATGATACCTCGATCGTGCATAGAGCTCACGCGTTCCAGAAGGTAGTCGATGATACACAACGGAAAGGTGTGATGTTAGTAGTTTTTTTTACAAGATAATTTAAAATTTAAAATAAAATTTAATATTAAGTGTACAACAAAATTTACAATAAAATTCAATATAAAGTGTACAATAAAATTAACAATAAAATGTACACTAAAATATTATAACAATCAAATATTTATTTTTTCAGTTACAACAAGAAAGCATTAACGAAGGATTTTTCAAACGGGATATCCGTGTGGGGAAGTATCGCCATGTCATTTTTGCCACAGAGTATCATTGAATTTGTTATATTTATGAAATTGTAATGTATTGAATAAAATTATATACTTTGTTGTTTATTAATGAACGGGTCCGCTCTAGCGTGGGGATGTTCCGAAAACCAGGGGGAAATGATCATAAAGCGAATGTGTCCCGAAAGTAAACTATATCTACAACCCGAAATTAAACTAAGTCGTGTGGACGACTCCACTAACGGGTGTGGACGACTCCACCAACGAGTGTGGACGACTTCAGCAGATTTTTCGTGTGGACGACTTTGCTTGTGGACGACTTGACTGATATTCCTCTTGCCATGCCTTCGGTCCTGCACCTGCTTCTTTTTTTTTCTTTTGAACATACAATTATTCCGGTGGGTGCATGGGTATTTTGTTTATATGACACAGTATGATAGTGCCATTTAACGAAAGCGAAAGATGACTAAGATGCCAAGTTATGGCAACTTAAAGGCTCAATACCACTCTTGTTGTAACTGAATAATATGTCCCAATTTTTATTCTGGTCAACAAATTGTACTATTTTACAATATTTCAATTAATTGGTGATACAAATTTCATCTTAACACACCTAATTTAAAAATTTTGAAAAATTCAACATAATGGTTAGAAACGTCTAACGTAAACCTTTTCAAATGAAACTTCGATTTAAAAATATTTTCGAACCCTCTGGACAAGTAAAATAGGATGTAATGGACAATTTACACAACAGGTAGGACACTTAAACATCTAGTACTTAGATAGAGATATTATTTATTTTCTGGAGCTTTCAAGCCAGCAAGAGTGTTATTGTCCCTTTAAAAGTAAATAGCACGGTCTGCTTAGTCACATAATAGAGTAATAAATTTAGAAGCTTCACACAGAACGATAATTTGTCTTACACCAGAGAATTTAGTAAGGCAGAGTAGACTGGAGCTTGGTGATTTTATTTATATTTTCTTTTCTTTTCTTTTTGTATAGAATTGGTATATCAGATGGTTGGAGATGTTGTTGATATAGGGATGCATTCTGTTGGACCATATGATCCAGAGGTAGAGATACATGCCATATAAATTTTCAGGGTATACATCATGTAAATGTAATGTATTATTGTTGATATGGAAGTATTTTGTGGAATGTATATTGCTTATATGTGTAGCAGCAAAGGATTTAAAGTGCTGTAATTTAGGGCAGAGTAGAAATAAGTGACTGTAGGTTTCATTATTTTTCTTGCAGTATTGACATATATAGTCTTTTGTGGGAAATGCATTGTGTATTATTTTGTGCATAAATTCTTTTTCTATTTCAGATAGTGTTGGACATTTATATAAATTATGCCAAACTTTTTCAAAATTTATATGAGGTAGGTGTTTGTTTATTTTTGGTTGTACGTTCTTACTATCAATGAGTGACCAGTACAAGTACAGACTTTTTCTTTAATCGATAGGTTGTAAGTAGACCAGTGACTAATAGTTGATTTAATCGTCATGATGAGGGGTAATCAGGGTTTTTTTTCCATTTTATTGATCCCAAACCAAATGCCCAGTAATTTAATTGTGTCCGTTTTAATGTTTATGTTTATATTTTCAGGAAATGAGTCATGGGATGGTTTACGAACACCAACATGGGCGATTTCGGTTTTATCTTGATTTAGTTGAGAGCTAGATACGGAGCCAAAATTTATACGTAAGGAATAGAGAATCATGGATAGAGGACAACCTTGACGGATCGAACAATTATTTTTTAATATTTTGAGAGAAGGATCCATTTACTTGAACTTTACTTTTCAAATTTTTAAACAGTATTGTAACCCAATTTACGATGTAATTTGGAAAATTCATGTGTTTTAGTAGAGTTTTTATATAATCGTGTTCAATACGGTCAAAGGCTTTTTCCTAATCAAACGATAAGATATAGGCATTAGTTTCATGTGTGTCTAAATAATTTAGGATTGAATCAATTAAATACAGGTTATCGAAGGTGCTTTTATTTGGTCCGGCTCCCGTTTGTGTTTTAGAGATCAATTTGTTAATAACTGTGTTCATTCATATACTTAATATTTTTGTGATGATTTTATAGTCGACACATAACAGGCTTATTGGTCTATAGTTCTTAAATAATCGGTGGTCGCCTCTATTCTTATAGACAAACAATTTATTCTTATAATTAATTATTATTATACCGGTTCTCATTGGGTTAGATAATTCACCCTGTAGATAGATGTTGTTTATTACTTCTGTCAGGTCGGTTCCTATTGTGTCAAAGAATTTGATATAGAAATCTCCTGGAATACCGTCGATGCCTGGGCTACGGTTTGATCTGAAACTTTGTAACGCCTTCAGATCTTCATCTTTAGATATGAAATGAGACAGGGAATCTCTTTCCGTGTTAGTTAGGGTATTTATGTTACTGTTTTCAATATAGGAGTTTATTAGGTTTTCGACAATGTTTTGGGTAGTATATAGTTGTTGGTAATATTGGTGAATTGTGTCTAGAATATCTTGTTCATTATCAAATACTGTATTATTTTGATTGATTAATTGTTTAATTTGCTTTTTAGCACTGTTTTTGACCTCAGCTAATTTATATATTTTAGAATATCGTAACCTTGTATTGTATTTTGTTCTATTATTTCGATTTTTGTTTGAATTTCATGCATTGAGTTAGTATTCATAGGTAGTATGGAAGTAGATCAACTTATAGTGTGATATATATTGAGACTATATTTATGTTATATATATGAATGCATATCTAGCACTATGCATATCTAGCGGTGTATTATGAATGTATGTTATATTAAAGGACGACGGATATTGTTAGTGTTGGTGACACGGGCTACTCCTAGATCTATCTTTATAATAGTATTAACATGTCACGTTTAGATTATATTTAGAGAGAAAGATAGATAGATATGGGGTTAAGTGGAGGGAAACCGCAGTTCAGGACCCGGAAAAACCCACGAGATTTGTTGACACGTATATGCGGGGAACCTACTCCATGCAGATTGACTCTATGTATATGATAGACCAGGAAAAAACCCACGAGGGTGGACAGGCTACCCTATTCTGTGTCACGTACATGCGGGGAACCGAGTCCACGCCAATTGACTCTATGATAGACGTTACTCACTGAGCCATCGCGACTCCCTTGATAATATAATACTTGACAAAATACCAAGGTTAATTTACGTCCGCTTCCATTGAGTTGATACCGTAGACAATAAATCAATGTCTAAGTATTCTGATAATAACATATTGATGTCAGGGAATTAAGTTCGATTCTCGAGAAGAACCTTGAGGTTTGTCAAGCCTGAGTTTCACCTGTCAGGGGTATAACGTCTATTGGGCTGACTAGTCCTTCGGATGGTTCCTACGTGTATACATTGGCGTGCACGTAAAATACATTCGATGAAACGCCGCTGTCAGGGCAAAATTCTTCTCATTAGCATAACATCCCTTAATAACAGAATAAAAAGCCGGTAGTATTGTGTTGTGTTAACGAAATGTTAAATTACATTCCTATTTTATTTTGTGGTTATATGACTAAAACGTCAGTTATATCAAGATAAGCCAGAATATTTTAAAGATACTTCACCGTATACAAACCGTTCGATCAAGAAATAACAACCTCTCCCTCAGTTAAACTAGCATACAATAAGCCGTCGTGTTGGCTCCCTCAGTTAAACTAGCATACAATGAGCCGTCGGGTTGGCAGTTAGTGATACCCTGACATTTTTGTACAGTTCCTGTTTTTCGCGTAATCCAGTATTTTTCTAGTAAGATTGGGCGTCTAAGCTTTTCATATATATCATGTCATACTTTTACTGGGAATAACCACCTGATAAATATATTTGTGACAATGTATCTTTAATATCCATGTGGTTGAAGCGGATATTTAGTTGAGAGATTAATTCTCCAAATATTGCGGGAGGTTGCGTGACCGAAAGGTTAACGCATGCGCGTTGGATCATAAGGTCTGCAATGAGTCAAGTGGTGTGGTTTCGATTCCCCGCTTGTACGGGACAAGAAGTAGGGCCCATCCTCCTAATTTTGCTCCCACTTCTAAAGACCCATACGCATAAGCGAATCATTTACATAAAATTGAAAAATATGTTAATAACGAAACTCTCTCTCTCTCTCTCTCTCTCTCTCTCTTTCTCTCTCTCTTATTAAGGTCAATAATTTCTGTACATGTTAACTATTACCTACATCCTATATTATTTATATTATATGAACTATTATAGATGGCCAATTACTACTAAACCAAGCATATCATAGTATGATGTACTATTAATATTATATGAACTATAATAGATAACCAATTAATACTAAACCAAGCATATCATTGGTTTATAGTGGAGAATAATTAACATCAAAGTTTACTGTATTACAAGATATGATGGGAATTATTAATGTCTATAATCAGTATATTTCAAGTGAAATGAAATGAAATGGATTTTAACGTCCTACTGTTCAGCTCCGACTGGGCTAATGCAGTGTGCTATGAGATAAATTTTGTTCGGACAGAGGCTCTACGGCCTACTCTTATTTCAAATTCCAACTCTCAAGGGTTCTTTTATGTGCATGCCAATATGTACAATGGACCTCACCTTGGTGTTTCATCCCATCCAAAGGACTATACGTTGTCCTACATCACTGACAGGTTAGCGAGTTAACGTCTTACTCACTGAGCCACCGTGGCTCCCATGTGGAATGAATCAGAATTGTAACAAAGGTTAACCTAAGCTATTTTGTACAAGTGATGTAATTATTTATAATGGGTATAACGAACATCTATTCAAGTGAAATGAATCAACATTAAAACAACTGCTATCATTAGACGAGTAATATAGTATTTTATGACTAAACGAAGTATCATAACATATAATTGATTGATCAATAGTAGAGGTCTAATAATATTGTAATGATATAATACATGATATACTAATGATATTGTAATTATATCAGTCAGCTATATAATACATGATATACTAATGATATTTATTTTATCTTGTAATATATTTATTCACAGAATATAATTATACATTATAATATTTACAGTATTTTATAATTTCCACACCTTTAATTTATTTTTTTACTTATTCCCTGTTACTATATAAAACACACACAGGCAAAGTATTCGCTGTTACTATATAAGACACACACAGGCAAAGTATTCCCTGTTACTACATGTATATATGACACACAGGCAAAGTAAAATACAATAATATATAATAATTAAAACAAATATTTTTGATTATTTATAATATGTATAGTCTAATAGTTGAGTAGATATAAAAGAGTGAACAGTAAAATTATTTATAATGTGTATAGTGTAAGAGTTGAGTATGTATAAAAGAGTAAAAAGTAAAATATGATATATATAAATAAAATCATTGCCTGTATCTTGCACACCTATAATACAATAGAGCGATACAGATTTTAAGTACATTTAGTGTCAATGAGAAAACCTGGTTTTAAATACTAATTATAAATTTCCATGTTTCAATTATTGCAATATTTGATGACTTTACGTCTAAGAGAAAATGAATTGCATTAAATAAATAATTTGCAGATATTTTCTAATAAACAGGTTGGCAGTGGGATTTTGGAGTGTAGAGGTTTTTGGCTGTTGAGTACATAGTGTCTATCTGAAAATATGCTTCAAATTTTAAAATATGGCTCTTAATGTTTCAAAAGTTACTATATTTGGTGACTTCAATAGCAAATAAAGATAATGTAAGCAAGAAAATTGGTTATAATTCAGAGTTGGCTGAGAATATCTTGTGAAAAGGTTTACAATAGCCAATTTCAATGTTAATTTTTTGAGATGACTTGATGAGCAAGACTAAAATGATTTGTATAGTTTAGATAGAGCTGGATAATAGGGACTTGTATCACTGGTGTTTATGTTGGGGGTTAAAAGATGGGTCGAAAGCTGGCAGACGGCAATTCGTCTGCTATTC